TTAGTGTTTTAGTGGGCTTAAGTGTCTGGAGTTCAACATTTAAAAACATTTTTAGCTTTATTTCTTCCTTCATATGAGACAAATACAGAGTAGACATGAGTTATAAAGTTTCCCTTTTCCAAGTCAGGTAAGATTCTGGCTAGCAGTTTCCCTTACATGGTTCATCATTGTTATAGAAAATGCTCTTAATGTATTTCAATATGGTTAATTTTCCATACTGAAATGGAAAGAAAGGAAAGAAATGCTTGCTTTTCTTTTCCTTCTGCTGGGGACCTGAGGGAATTTTTCTCATATATTCACCATAAGAACCTGGTGGATTTTCTGTAGGTAAAGCTCATTAAATTTTGGGAGTATCCCTAAAACTAACCCTCCACGAGTTTATTATTTTTGTTTTATTATACTTTAAGTTCTGGGGTACATGAGCAGGATGTGCAGGTTTGTTACATAGGTATACACATGCCATGGTGGTTTGCTGCAATCATCACCCCATCATCTACATTAGGTATTTCTCCTAATGCTGTCCCTCCTCTATCCCCTACCTCCTAGTATCCCTCCCTAGCCCCCTACCCACTGACAGGCCCTGGTGCGTGACGTTCCCCTCCCTGTATCCATGTGTTCTCATTGCTCAACACCCACTTATGAGTGAGAACACACAGTGTTTGGTTTTTTTGTTCATGTTTCAGTTTGCTGAGAATGATGGTTCTAGCTTTATCCATATACCTGCAAAGGACATGAACTCATACTTTTTTATAGCTGCATAATATTCCATTGTGTATATGCCACATTTAGGTCAAGTAGTTCATCAAAATCACGACTAAAGTCACACTACTAGTTATTAGTCCCAGTAGCTTCTGCTCTCAGTCAGCTGATCTTGACTGTAATTCTATATGCTAGTCTGTCTCTCCAGATTTCCAGGCAGTGGCTTGCCCTATGACCCCCAATTCTCTTAGGTATCTATTCAAAGTTATGGGTTTTCAGTTTATCCATCTTTTTGTGTTTGTTTTACTAATGGGAGTGGCAACTTCCCAAGCTCTCCATATGTTGAAACAGACACCAGAAGTCCTCTATGATTTTTGTGTTTTGTTCTGAGACAGAGTCTTGCTCCATTGCCAGGCTGGAGTGCAGTGGTGCAATGTTGGCTTACAGTAACCTCCACTCATGGACGTCAACCTACTCCCCGGCCTCAACCTCCCGTGTAGCTGGGACTACAGACATGACCACCCACGCTCCGCTAATTTTTTGTATTTCAGTACAGACAGGGTTTCACCATGTTGGTCAGGCTGGTCTCTAACTCCTGACCTCATCATCTGCCCTTCTTGGCCTCCCAAAGTGCTGGGATTACAGGCATGAGCCACCTATTTTACATAACACTCTTCTCAGCCAAAATATCAGCTGGTCAGCATTTTTTTATTGCATTTTAGATTTTGGGGTACATGTGAAGAATATGCAAGATTGTTGCATAGGTACATACATGGCAGTCTTTTCTACCATAAAGGATATCACCCATGGGTCACAGAACTAATTTGTGAATACTGTCAGTTGTCAAATATTCTATTTCAATTATACATTCAGAAACTGGGGAAATACACTGATAAACTAGGCCCACTATGAATCAGACTTGAGCTAAGATTTTATCTAGCACCTGACTACTCTAAGCTTGTGTGCAAGAAAGAGTTAACATAGTACGCCTGTTATTCTTCGAAAGTTTTGCTTAAAGTGTTATCCCTTGGGTAGCATCTGGGAACTCAGATTTTGGTAGGGTTTTTATTATCCTAACTTGAAAGATGGTACACTGTGTCCAAACTGTTTGTACAAACAGTATGGTTTATACTAAAAATGCTTTCATCCAGGGAGTCTGGAGTTTTGATAGGTGCTAAGTAGAAAGGGACCTAAATAACTAGCCCACAATTAAAACCCCAGGCACTAAGTTTCTAAGCTTCTTTGGTCAAGAATATTTCACTGTTTTGTCATAACTTCTTGCTGAAAGAATTAATCATGTCTCATGTGACTCCACTGGGAGGAGATTCTTGGAGTCTCGAGCCTATTTTCCTTCAGATTTCACACTGTGCAAACCATTTTGCTGATTTTTCTTTGTATCCTTTAACCATAATAAATCTTAGCCACAAGTATGACTACGTGCTGAGTTCTATTTCCTAGCAATTCATTGAATCTGAGACAAATGGTCTCAGGGACTCCCAATTCAGCTCTACTTTGACTGGTTGGACAGAGAAACATTTTGAGTCCCCAAGAACTGGTGTAAATTCAGAGTCAGAGTTTAGGAACTGGGTATTCCTTTTTTCACAGTGCACAATCTCTCTAGTAAATGGCTGAAGGTCCCTTCGGGGAAAGCTAAGAGGAAGATTTATGGAATATACTCAAACGAATGCCACAAGATCCTTCCTCAAGGTTACCTGGGCTCCCCTTGAATCAAGAGACTGTTTTTGAATTGAATTATGTCTAGTAATTGTGTAAAAGGCTGTGATTCTTTTGATCTGTGGAAAGTCAAATCAGGGTTTGTGGTACCAGATCTAGAGTATATTCTGCTATGTAACTTAACCAGTTCTCTGGTTGGCTATCTGATTATTTCATTCCTAGGGATACTATAGTCAATTAGCCATAGCCAAAGATCCCTGCAGGTCAAGGCATTCTGGCGACTGGTACACTCCTGCTGACCTTAAAAGTAAATGTGTCGGCTGGGTGTGGTGGCTCACACCTGTAATACCAGCATTTTGGGAAGACAAGCCGGGTGGATCATGAGGACAAGAGATTGAGACCATCCTAGCCAACATGATGAAACACCATCTCTACTAAAAAGTACAAAAATTAGCTGGAGGTGGTGGCACATGCCTATAGTCCCAATCTCGGGAGGCTGAGGCAGGAGAATTGCTTGAACCTGGGAGGCGGAGGTTGTAGTGAGCTGGAATTGCGTCACTGCACTCCAGCCTGGCACCTAGTGACAGAATGAGACTCTGTCGCAAAAAAAAAAAAAAAAAAAAAGTAAATGTGTCCACATTGTCTTTGGAGTTTAAGTGCTATCACCTGGCCTCTGATAGTCTGGAAATCTTATCTTCATTTAAATCAGAGAGCTTATTTTAATGGCAGTATCCTCCATGGCTATACCTGGCCTACAAAAGAGAGCAATTGCAAATCTTTTCAAAAATGCAAGTACATCTCTCACGAATACATTCTTTAATGCCTTAGTGCACGTAGTGTCTTCTGGGCCTTTTCACGGAATATATTTGAGTGTTAGGCTTGCAGGTCATACATAATAAATCCACTCTGACATTCTCATTTTCCCAAAACTTTTGGGGTCCTTTATCCACATTTTGCCAGGAAAACTCTGGCATCTGATCATCATTAAATGTAGGCATCTTTGAGTCTAAATTTCAACCAACTGAGTAAAATATCAGAGCTGCCCCCAGCTGCACAAGCTAACATATTACAGCTGGTATCTGTAGCAAATGCACCTGTATTAGCGGTTCTGCCTAATTTAGTATTATATTTTTCCTTCTTTTGTCTAACACCCTTGGAAGCCTCTTCCCCACGTTTCTAAAGTTTACATTGATTCTGTATTAGCAGAGACTTACAATTCTCTCAGTGATGCAATTTCCTCCTAGGTTATAATGTGTACCTGTCACCAGAGCATGCTAAAATTTCACCCAAGCTGTGTATTTAGTAGCCACAGTGAGTGGTTTTAATGGGTTAACATGAGCATCTCCCTTCGAGGCACTTTTCCCAGATGAGTTAATCACAAAATTTCAAGTACAAGAAGATTAGTTTCCTCAGCTATAGGAGAGCAAACCAGTTCTCCTGCAAAGGAGTCTCAGAATAACTTGGTGGTTCAAGATTGCCAGTTCCACCTGGATTCAAACACGTCTTAATTCTAAGTATGAGTATTCCATTCCTCCCTATTCAGTGCCTTCTCCCATGATAAACTTTGCAACGTTGAATTTAACAGATCCCAGAATGTAGCCACCTACACAATTAAATTGAGATTTTGAGCAAAATCTCAGTAAAATGTCAGACTCTTCTTGAAACCATAGTGAAAGAGGAATAAATAATGCATTCTAAAAAAAAAAGAGTGGCTAGTCACTATTGTTAATTGTGTATTACTTACCATGTGTCATGGACTTTGCTAAGTAATTTAAATACATTATTTGGTGTCATGCACTCACTTCATTCCTTTCATTGCACTCAGAATAAACCCCAAATCTGTGTCACGGCCTTCTGGGTCCTAAATGGTCTGCACCCCTACTGACCTCTCAGTTTGATGAGAAAGTTTCACGCACATATCTTCTTTCCACTTTTCTCAGCTTACCTGTCACCTTTTCCAAACTGCTTTTCAAAAGTAGCTCACTCCCCACTTCATCAGTACCCACAACAAGACCACGCTTCTTTATTATCACCGTAGTATTTTACTTATTGCATGCTTTTCTTATTGCATGCTTAGTATTTTTATTCATGTTTATTTGCTGTGTGCTTATTATGTTTACTCCATGAGACTGTAACTTGAACTCAGGCATGGACCATCTACGGTTTGTTCACATTGCACCGCACCAGATAAGGAGGTTAATAGGCATATGTAGTTGGCATACATTATTTCCTACTGCTTTTTAAATGGGCAAATGGAAGCTTGGAGAGCCATGTTAACGTATTTCAGGTCCGTCACAACCAACTGGCGGCCACGGTCTGTGGATCTTCAAGCTGGATTTGGTCACCTCCTAGGATAACCCCACACAAGTAAGTGAAGCTCACTGCAATTCCCTCCTGTCCTCCAACGATAGGGGCAGCAGGGTCTGTACCGAGAAGAAACGACGAGCATCATCACTATCATCACAAAACTGGTGCGCGCTTACCATGCCGGCGACGTGCCCGCTCTCCTCCTTGCCTGGGAACAGAACTGACCGCCACAGGCGCGGCCAAGCCCTCGCGGAACCGCCAGGTAGCAGCCGCCCCCTCTCTGCGCAGGCGCGCGCCGGCTGCTTCCGCTCAGGGCGGGGCCGGGCTCCCGGCTGCTGCGGCGTCCGCCCCAGACCCGGCGCGGGTATGGAGCTCGGGGGTCGATGGGGCGGGAGCTCGACCCCGAGGCTGGCCTCGGAGACCGCAGAGCTGCGACAGGAGCAGAGGACAGGAACCCAGGCGGAGGCTGCCGACGCGGGAGCCGTCCGAGCCCGCCGCTTCCTGCTCTGTCTCTACTTGGTGGGCTTCTTGGTGAGTGCGAGCGTGGGGCTGGGGCAAGGGCTGACTGCTCGGGCCTTGGGACGCGGGCGGTTCTCGGAGCTCCGGGGGGAGGGAACCCGCAGTCCGCTGGGTGGGTGCCTCGCTACCTGTCAAGCTCTCCTCTTGCCCCGTCATCTGCTTCACACGGCTTTACTGACCCTCGCGCTTTCGCTTGCACCCCGGTTCGGGAGCCTGTGCCCTTCCCTGCCTTTTAAGAAGCCCTGGTACCAGCTTCCGATGTGGCCAGGTGTTAAATGCTGTGGCAGGTGCAGCTTTTGTAGGGCGAGGAACAGGGGCTTGGGCAAGCTTGGAAAAGCCCAGCTGCTTAGCCGCTGCTGGTGCGGTAGGGACATGCTGGCTTTTTTTACCAGAACAGGCAGGGGAGGCCGCTGTGGATGACCCCCCTGGGACAGAATTAGGCACATTTTCACTAGGGTTCTTGGTTGACTAGAATATTTAAAAATGTAGATCAGAGTGAATTGTACCCATCTGCCTTTCCACAAACTGTGTGCCTCACACAGTATAGATCTGGTTTCATCATGACGTGTGTGCGTGTGCCTAGTTTGCCTTTTGCCAGAACAGACAGGGGAAGCCGCTCTCCCACTTGTACGGAATTGGGTGCATTTTCTCTAGGGCTCTTGGTTGACTTGAATGTTTAAAAATCCAGATCGGAGTGAATTGTACCCATCTACCTTTGGACAAACGGTGTGCATTGCACAACATAGGTTTGGTTTCATCATGGTGTGTGTGCGTGTCCTGGTTTGCTCCCTGAGTGCTAATTTCCCATGTAGAATGGAAAGTTTAGTAAACTGATTCATGGCATTTCTGAACACCTGCCATGTGGTAGTTGCTGTGGAGCTCCACTATTGTAATCCACAGTTCTGCCACCGAAGAATTTAGCCTTACAAGTAAGCTGATGTTGGTAGTTTCTGGGCCATTATATGCATGAACCCTAGATCCACCTCGCAGTCCTCCCTTTCCAAGGCTAGGCCTAGTACAGTAGCCCTGGGTGTGAGCTAATCCAGTATCTTGAGGGCAAAGGGAGCTGAAGTAAGTGTCAATGGGAAAAGGCTGCCTTCTGAGACCTTGAAGATGGTACCTTATGGCACTCTGCCCTGGCAAGGAGGAATCACCATTTTCTGCCCAGATGCAGGTCAAGACCACCACTTTTCCCAGTCTCATGCACTCTCCATGACCCCACCTCCATGCAAGGTGTTAACAGTTGACAGCTACTCTGTTGAGTTAATAGTTAAGACCACCATGAAAGCATGTTCACCAAATTGTGGCAATTGCAGAAGCACAAGGCCCTCATGGAGGGTGGCATTTTAGAGAGGATCTCTCTGCCTCTAGGGCCATCGCAGGGCCCACCCTCCAGCTCTATGCCTTTAACTTCAGAGCCTGACACTCCTTCTGACTACTATTCATCTCTTTATTAGTTCATTCTCAGTGTGGAGATGCTTCTTCTACTTTTCAGTGTAGTCACCTAGAATTCACAACCAGTGAGTATGGTGGTTTTTGGAGAGGAGTTGGCTGCCATCCACCCTTGTTAGATGTGGGTCCCAAGCTACTGTTGTCCTATCTCAGAAGGAACTTGAATTGGTTCCCCAGATGACAACATTTGAGCCCATATTTGGAGAGTCCAGACTAGGACTCAGAGAATGTGGAAACTAACATGACCTAGAATTCAAAATAGTTTGGGTATTACAATAAAACAAGGAAAACTGCAGATCATTTGTTAAAGTCCGCCTTCCAGTACAGATTTGAATATTCACAGCTTCTCATATGTTTGCTTTATGCTGTGCACTAGACAAGTCTAATCTAGCAAGCCTGACACAGAATTTCAATAACTTTAATAATGTATTCAAGAGAAGCATTCGGTGTCTCATATCTTAAGAGAAAAATGTATAGTTTCCCAAAATTTGAGACTAGGGATTTTTTTATAATAGAAAATATTATAAACAATTAAAATACATGAAGCTTTCTATGAAAGTCATATAAAGCTACCTGACAGATGATTGTTAGGTAACATCTAAGGATGATTATGTATAATTTAGTTATTATTTTTGACATATTTAGGGATGTAGAGAACGCTAAGATTTTTGGACAAATGGTTTCTGATTGATAGAGTAGGGAACAAGATTGGAGAAGTCATTTGCCAAATTGTTCTGCTTTAGCAGTTATCTGTACTTCCAGGTTTTGATTGATTTAGGAGGGAAGACCAAGATGACCCTTGAGGCCCATTTTGTTTAGGATGCTTAGATGGTGATGAGATCTATTATTTCAACCACTTTTTTCCTCCAGATATTTGATGACATTTGTTTTCCATCCCATCAGCTTTATTCAGCTTTATTCATTTTTCTTGAGATAGTCCAATAATCAATACTTACTGGGGTTCCTGCCCTGAAAAGAGTTCTGAAACTTTTAAGTGTATATATTCATCAATTTTTATTGAGAAATGTTGATGTTCAGTAAAAAGCTTTTTAAATGGCCCCTTCTGACACCTTTTTATGTGTGGTTATATGCACATGCCCAATTGACAAATGCAGTGATTTTAAGGAAGCTATGAATTCAGAATCAGAAAGGAGTTGCCTTTTATAGGAAAGGAGAAGACCATTTTAGAACAGAACTTCCCAAGAGGAACGATTCAGTGGCCAGTCTCCTTTGAAGAATATAGTCTTTTTCGTACTCAGCAAGTGCTAAAGTAATACCAATCATCAATTATTACTTTTGAGTCTGTATTTTCATATTTGCCTTCGATAGCTCGGTTGTAAACGAACGAGTCAGAAGGAACACGCCATGCTCTGAGTTCCAAATTAAGAGTCCTTCATTAGCTGGCCACCGAGAGATGGCTAATGCTCAAAATTCTCTCACTCCGAGGAAGAGACTTGATTTCGCTTTATACCTTGATTTAGGCAGGGGAGGGGGAGCCTAGCTGAAGCGGAATTTTACAGAAGCAGAACAAGCAAATTAGATAAGGAAGCTGGTAACCAGGGGGCAGGAGGTTCCCAGGATTTTTGGTTGCTGAGGGTATTTCCATACAGTCATCAAGAGGGATGGCAGGGGGAACTTTCCATACAATCAATCACCAGGGAAGGTATTCACAATAGCAGGTAGACTTGCCAAGCAGGATGCAGTTACGATGGTTACAGGTACTGTGAACAGTATGAACCACTCTTTTTTTTTTTTTTTTTTTTTTTTAAGATGAGGTTTCACCGTGTTGGTCAGGCTGGTCTTGAACTCCCGACCTCAGATGATCTGCCCACCTTGGCCTCCAAAGTGCTTGGATTACAGGCATGAGCCACCACATGCAGCATGACCTAGTAATGCACCTGAAGGGGTCGAGGCAGGGAGGGAGAGGCTAGAGAGGGCAACTAAGATGGGGTCAGTTAGGTTAATACAAGTTAGGTTATTACAGATCTCAGCCTCTTGACCTGAATATTTCTCTCCATCTCTTATTCAGGATAACCATTTTATGAATGGTATGTTGTACTGAAAAAAATTTTTTTTGAAAAAAAATTGTTATTGGTCAATCAAGTTTCCTTTTTCAAAAGATCCAGAAGATTCAATAGGTGGCTGGTGCATTACAAGTCTTTTAAATGTAAACCTCAGTGGGCTGATGAGATGCAAAACCCAAAAGAAATTGGCTCCTACCCAAAGGACATTTTAAGTAATCGCAGTATTGAAATAATAAATCATCACTCTGGCAATATAATTTTAATAGTTAATTATAGTCACTTGATATTAGATAACAGGGCCGTCTAAAGATGTAACCATGGAAAAGCCCACTGAAAAAGTATGTGGAAATGTATGTATCTATAGTTATATAAAAACACACCTACCAGGACAGGGAAAGGGGAAAAAAGATTAACTCTGAGCTCAAGGAAAATATCTATTTCATGGGAGTTTGTTCTTTCCAACTAACCAGGTTTATGAGAGAAGGAATTCAGGTTGGGTATAATGAAAACTCTGTGTGTGCAATGTTTTTTCTCCCCCTAAACCAACTGTAGTGGGTAACTTAGTGAAGTGAGAATAAGAACAAAATTAAAGGAAAAATTAGCAGTCTGTCTATTAACTCAGAACACCTAGCAAAAAGAGTTTGTACTTATCACCAGAACTGAAGAAGGGAGAAGATATGTTTGAGCTTATATGGTTTTTTCAGGCCTTTCTGAAGCATTGTGCCACTTAATGCTCATCATATTTCCACCAGGCAGGTATTACTCTTCTCCCAGCACTGAAGTTTGGTGACTTTAAATAACTTTCCAAAAATACATGTTTAGTAAGTAATGGAGCTGGAATTGAGAACTGTCAACCTGACCCCATTCACTTTCTGTGACATAGCTGCAAAAAACTGGCCTTTCTCCAGTGCCCCAGCTTTCTCTTTCCTTCCTACTTTACTGAGCCTTTATAAACCACAGGTCCTAAGATATTAGCCACTTTCACTAACTCCAGAAGGAAACGTATATTTTTAAACAAGTGCTGGTTCACCAATAAATAAAAGTTATGACTGCATTTTTTTTCCTATGATTCATTCACAGAAAATGTGGGGGTTTCTGTTTTGTTTGAGGAATTTCTGTAGCATATCCTCCTTGAGTGTAAAGTTAAAATGTGTCCCAGGTCATTTGTAATCCAGGCATTTGCAAGTGGCTGCAGAATTGTATGGCATGCTATGGAATCAAAATATGATTTCTTATGTATTTAAAATTTTAGATATTGGTTTTACTTTTAAATTAGTTTAAAATTTTAGGTTTACTAGTTTGAAAAAATCTAATTTGAGTCCATCAGCATTTATTTTGTTTCAGGATTTGTTTGGTGTCAGCATGGTTGTGCCTTTACTGAGCCTTCACATCAAGTCCCTTGGAGCAAGTCCAACAGTTGCTGGAATAGTAGGTGAGTGGTCAATACTGCTCATTTTTAGAGCACTGAATTTTAAATTCTCTGAACCAAGTACCTGAAAACAATTCAATCTTGTAGCCAAATATTATCCAAAGGTAAATGGGAAATGAAGTAAAACAAATTTCCAGAGTATTTTAAAATATTAGCCTACAGCAAATGTAATTCCTTTTTTTCTAGACAGCCTATGTTCAGAGAGATTTTGAGGTTTGAGTGTTATACCCAGGTCTCATGCCACTAGTGGCAATAGGTACTTATGGAGCCTCTGTAAGGAACTGGCTATGTGTGTAAAAGGGTAGGTATATGTGGACTCCTGCCTACAGGAACCCTTAACCTAAGGTGAGAGACCAGGGAAACATAATCTACGTAAATTACACCTTATGGAAAAGGGTTTGGGTGAACATTAGTCAATTAGTTGCAAGCTTCCCACACTATGACCAACACAACATGGGGACTGTAGGGTTTCTCTGCCTGTGCAGCATAAAAATTCCATCCAGAAGTCATTGATTTACCAAAGAGCCAAGAAATAGGGCTTAGGACTACGCTAACCAGTGAGAAATTGTTGAGACTAACAGCTCTGGATCATTCACAAGATCAAGAATAAGCAGGTGTTTGCAGACAGTTTTGTACATATTTGTTAAATCATGTTCCATGCCATGATTTGTATTTCCCTTGACAAATATACTTGGAATTAAACTGGACCATGCAGCAGCCTCAGGTTTTTGGTAAAAGCAAATGGGGCATGCTGCATGATAATGGAGATAAACAACTCTGTAAAACCTTATAAGTTCTTGATAAACTTAAATGATTTTATAAAACCATGCAATGTTAGAGACAATGTTAAAACCTTAAGGCTTAGGATTTTTTCAGAATTTAAATTTCTGCTCCCCTGAGTACTCTCCATGCTGTTTCATAAGTTGAAGCTACACAGTTCTCATGATGGAAGGACAATCATACAGCATCCATAAGGTCACCTTTTGCCTTTATTCTCTCTTCCATTTATCCTCTATTTTTTGAAAACCTTTTATTAAAAACTGTATTACTTCCATTTTTCCGAGTAGAAAAAAAATGATGTGAGATTAAAAAAAAAAAAAAAAAAAGGCCCCTCTTTCCTGATGTTTTTCTGTTGGTTTCTGTGTAATTGTTATTTCATGAATCCATTTCTGTGATAGGTTTAGCTGATTTTATTGATTTGTTATTTACAGGCTCCTCCTATGGCATTTTGCAACTCTTTTCTAGCACGTTGGTGGTAAGTTATCTTCCATTTGGTAAAACATAATCACATGTCTCATCCATCACAGATGTAGTAAAATTGGGGGCGTGAAGTTTACCAAAAAGTGATAGATTTGGTATGAAAAGGCCTTTAAATTATAATATGTTCTTCCTATAATTCCCTGCTAACATTTTACAGACAATGTAAACAAAAGTTATTACCAATTTTATTATTTGTTTCACTTCATTGATAGCAATCAAAGCCCTTTATATTTCTGCTATTCTGTTTATAGTTGTTGTGTATTTTGTACTAAATAAAACCTTTTTTATAAGACCTAAGTGTATAGACAGAAGGGGACATTTGGACTGGCTGATCGTATATATATCTGCAGCATGGAGTAGAAAGATCCGGAGGGGCTTAGGCATAATGGTCTACACTTGCAGTCCCAGCTACTTGGGAGGCTAAGGTCAGGAGCCCAGGAGTTCAAATCTAGCCTGAACAACATAGCAAGACCCTGTTTATAAGAAATAAAAGAAAAAAAAGAAACAAAAAAAAGACACTATGGTCTGGAGACCTCAGTGTCCAGTGGTTCAGGCAATTCAGTAGAGTAGTCAGTTTAATCTCACGATTGATATTAGTGACTTTGATCTCAATAGCTGGCCTGGGTGTGGGGGGTCTCACAGTTAATGAACACAAATTGTACTTATATTTCCCAAGAGTTGCTTCCTTGTAAAATATATTTTTAAAAGAAATTCAGTCAGGTTTCATAATAAATTCTTAAGTAAACGGCTACTTCCTGATTTATCTGTTATTGAAGTCTTTCATATATTAGATTTTTCATAATGATAACAGTTTTAGCTTCATTTAAACTTCATAGTAACCCAACAAACTAGTTTGGTTTCTTCCTTTTATATAGAAGGAAATTAAGACCAATTAAGAACCATGTAGTTTAATTTGACTAAGCCACCTAATCTCAGTGTTCAGACTCTAGGCCCATATTATTTTTTTTCTAAGAGCCATCTGTCATTGCCTTAATGATATAAAAAGGTAAATAGGTAACTAGAGTTATCAGATTGTACAGGAGAGCAATCCACTCGCTTGTCAGGCAGAATGTCCTACTGTATGTTCTTTCTTGTGAGAGAAAAGTTTGGGTTACATCTTAGTAAACACCTTTTTTGCTTTATTTGTAAACTCACTCCCAAAATACCTGATGTGTGTATCTGGTAGCACTCTTAGGCCACAGTGTATGTTAATTCTTTAAATGCTTTTCTCCTCCTGGACTCTGGCCTTCCTGAGATATAGACCAGGCTTACTTGCTTAATTTACTTTTATATTCTTACTTATCAGAGCACCTGGCAATAGTTAGCACTTTATGAATGTGATGTTTTTATTGCTAACTGTGACTCTACCCTTTTTTTCAAATTCTTCTTTGTTGTTTTATGTTTGTACTTATGTGGAACATTTCATGTGTCCTTTAGCTGAAATTTAATAAAAACTGTTCTTAGAAAGGCTTAAGATACAGAAGTGTCCAGTTAAAATTTTCTTTTTAACCCATACTCTTGTAAATATGTATTTTAATTATAAATTTTACCAAACAGTTTTTAATTTTGAGAACAATTCTTTATAAAGAAAACGTGTATTCTGTCAGATTTCGCTAATGTTTTTAAATAAATGTATTTTAATAAAAATGATGTATTTATTAAGCACCTATGTGTCAGTCCCTGTTTCAAGAACTTTATTTTCTCTAATCCTTACAATAACCAACCTCAAAGGGTGGTTGTGGGTCTTTAATGACTCATTTTATATTAAGCACATAGAAAGTGTTGAGTGGGGAAACTAATGTCTGAGGCAGATATTATCTTTATTTCTGTTTTACAGTCTCTCAATATGTAGAGAGCCTGAGGCATAGAGAGGTTAACTCATATGTCCGAGGTCATGGTGGAAGGAATCATGAGTTCAGTGTTAAGACCAGGCAGCCAGGCTGAGAGCCCAGGGTATAATTCCCAGATTATACCACTGCCCTGTGAATACAAGGAGGCTGGTGATCCTTTCCCCAGATGAAGAGTGTGGGGAATTTCTAAAATTCATTGAAGTGAAAATTGGAGAGTAGGATTGAAGACATCTGTAGGAGGATGACAGTATTTTGGAAAATTTACCTTCAAAATATTTTATAGAGGAAGTTTACACCCTTATGTTAAGGGATCTTTTGGGTCCTTACAAAAAAGATAAACATATCAATAAAATTGGAGAAAGGGTATGAACAGGTACCCTGGCAATTGGCAAGGAGGAGTTGCCTGCTGAGATTCCTTCTATGGTTAGTGGAGATGGTAAGAAATGGTTGTGGAACATCACTGAGGAAGGAGCGACGCAGGAACCAGCCTCAGTCACCTCCCAGCCAGGACCCATGGAGACCAGCCCATTGTACTGGAACTGGGGGTCATCCAGGATTTCACACAGCATGGGAGACCCTGTTCTTGACCCTTTTACACAGTGCTCCATTGATAGTATAGTGTTTAGTAATTGTTAGTTTAAGGCAGTGACTTTTTTCAGAACCTCAGTATGTGAAATGCTAGGCTTCCTCCGGGGCCACTTCTGTGGTCTTGTTCAACATCCTTACTTGCATAAAGAATGTTGAGGAGAGAGGTGTGCCTGGCAAGTCTCTGAGGCTTCCCAAATGTGGGAATTCTAACGGGCAGAAACGCAGCTTTATTTGCTTCTCTCGAGGAAATACAAATAGTACACAATTTTTTTTTTAGCCAATTATCAGGAAAAAAGGCAAACATAATTTTAAAAGATGCTGCTTAACAAATCTGTAGATTTTAAACATTGATAGTAACCATGCTTGTTGAAATATGGGGAAATGGAGATTGTTACTGTTCTAATTACAGTGTATATGGGATGACAAATCTTTCCGGAGAGTAATTGGTCAGTATGTGGCAAACGCCTAAAAAAAAAAAAAAAAATGGCTGCATAGAATTGGAACAACTCCAATTGTAGAAATTATTTCTAAGGAAATTTTAAGGATATTTGTGGAGAGTTTGCTGTGAAGATACTTATTGTAGCATTATTTATATTTTTGACAAATTTTTAAAGAGTAAAAATCTAACAAAATGATTTGTTAAATAAACATTCGTACATAGTGGAATAAGAAATACGATTAAATGGTAACAAAGGCAAACTTTTATAATATGGAATGATGTTTAAGTCATACTAAGTAAAAAAGCAAGTTACAAAATAGAGTGTACTATATGACCATTTTGTTAAAATATAGGTACATTTGGGATGATGAGGTATTTTTATATTCTTCATTTTGTTTTTCAGTAGTTTCCAAATTTCCAAAAATTGTGCGTGTATCTGAAGAGTATAATTGTATAAAGTCATGAGAATAAAGACAATAATGAGGCTTTATAATTTATACTTTATCATCTCTCCAGGCTTTCTAAGCTACCAGACCATCAGACTTTGTTTGTTTGTTTTTGGATAAAGAAAAATATATTGTGGTTTTCCATTCACTGTGTGTGAAGATTAGAGAAAATAACCGACTCTGACCAATGGCATCATGGAATTGAGCATCTGAGAATCCGACACTGAATCTTCTTGATGTTTTCCTATGGTTACTTTGTTTTGGTCATTTGCATGGTAATGGTTGTTACTGCGTGGAGTCCAAGGGCTTTTTCTTGCTTGCTTTCCTCAGGGCTGCTGGAGCGATGTGGTGGGAAGACGGTCTTCCTTGCTGGCCTGTATTCTACTCAGTGCCCTGGGCTATCTCCTTCTGGGAGCAGCCACCAATGTGTTCCTGTTTGTCCTGGCTAGAATCCCAGCAGGTGAGTTCTCTCTCTCTCTCTCTCTCTCTCTCTCTCTCTGTGTGTGTGTGTGTGTGTGTGTCTTTGTCTTTTTATTAAAAAAATTCCCTGTCTCTGCTCTGTCTTTCTATGTAAAGCCTGTCTCTGCTGGACATTGCCTCTTTGATAAGCACTTACATAAAGTGCTAATTACAATGGCAATTGTGACTATAACTGACACCAGCGGCTGCTGACCATTGAATATTTGACACGGGCCAGGCGCTCTGCTATCTTGACAAAGCTGGAGTTGTACTTGACGGAGCCTCTTGCCGCTCAGAGCCTGTCAGTGTGAATGATCACACTACTGTATTGGGACTTGGCTCCTTCCTGTTGATCTTGCCCTACCTTCACTCAGTAAGGATTTGTTAGGTGTCTTTGACAGCACCGAGGTTCCTGTTCTCTCCCTTGGTGAGCCTGTAGTTTTGTAACTGGACTTCCTGACATCAAATCGAGATTCACCTCTTTTGCTTTTCTGTGGCCTCCTTCCGTCTGTCAATTGGGGGGACACTGAGATTATGATATAGTAGCTCATGAGCTAGTTTGCTGTTTCCAGACTGGTCTGGACTATTTTTTTAACATTTTGAACTAGCTTTTGATTTTGTCCATTTTTTGAAGCACCACCTGTGAATGCCAGGTAGTGCTTGGTGGGTGGATTATTCCTGTAGAAGTGTTGTTCTCTTTGCCATTCTTAGCGATTAGAGGAGTTTCAGTGTCTCTCTCTTACTCTACCTGTCAGAGCACTGGCAGGCTTTGCTACCCTGGTCGACACATCTGAGGCACTGGGTACCATCCTGTGTTTAATTAAACTGCTTGCTTTTAACTGACTTCCCAAATAATAGAGCGTCAAATACCTCATTTTAACATAGAAGTGGTGTTCAGCTGGCTCACCTGGGATTTCTACACTCATTTCTGTGCAATATATACTTTTTTCATTTACTCTGAAAGTCTGCAGAGTTCAGCCCCAAAATTCTTACCATGCTTTTTGTTGAGTGGAAAATGCTTTATGAAGGGCTTTGCTTAAATGTAGTTCAGCTGTCTTTACGAAACCCAGTACCACACACAAAATTCAATCGATAGCTGTTGCATGTGCATCTGATGTTGAATTTGTTGTTCTTGGTGGGCAGTGTGTCTTTCTACAGTATAACACCCTCCACCATTCAGTGCTATGTGATGTTCATAAATCTAAAGGCGGCGATGGGGAAGATGAATAAGAACCTAGAGTTGTTACAAAATGCATAGAGATTCATGGGGATGATTAAAATGTTTTACTTAATAGGAAATGGGCCTGGCTTAAGTAGTGAGAGTTCTCTTATGTGAACAGTCACTATAATCTTCACAAATGAGAACTATACATAAAAACTCCTCCTTGCCTACGTAACCTCCACAGTGTTTATTGGTCCGTGAACAGGAGCGAGCCTTCGGGGGCTTCACAGGGTTCTGCTTCACAGAGTCAGTTGTGGATTCAGACCTTTGTGTCCTGAAAATGAGCAGCTGACTTCGAGTCAGTGCCTGAGGTTGAAGTGCCTTAGTTGGATGCCTCATTTTTGTTTCTACTCTGACCACCACCCCAAACTCTAAAAATCTAGAGAAGTTGAGGCTGGGTTGTTCATGGGATACTCTTACCACAATCCTCTTCCCTCATGTTTATAAAGTGAATCTGACATCAATATAGTTTCAGAAACAATTACAGAATTCCCACAAGACCTATGGGAATCACATTCTGGCCCAGTCCTCTCTCATGTTTAAGGAAACAGGTCTAGAGAGAGTCTGTCTACCTAATTCCAAAAGGCTTTATACATTTGCTTCCCAGAGAGGCTGGCTATCTATCAGGCACCCAGCCACGCTAATTTGGAGGCAGAGCTGGGATAGGTTAGTAGGATGAATGTGTTGAAGCACTCCGCAGCGGCACAGTGATGTGCAGAGTGAGAGTGCCTGTGGGAGATCACGGAAAAACGCTGTGTCGCATCACACTCACGTGATTCACGCAGATCCGCCAGTGGCATTTATGGAATTCCTACTATGTGTTGATCAACATAATGGGCTGCTGGTTACCAGAATCTGTCAGCATGTTTGCAAGTATGGTTGTTCTGCACATGGGTTTCTGGGGACATAAGAATCAAATCCATCTGCAGAGATAGGAGGAGTATAGTGGTCAGGCACTTTAATTACTTATTAAAAGTTATATGACAGCATTCAATTTGTTCAGCAAATTCACTGGCCTCATACTGGTATTGGTCTTGATATTGGTTCAGTGATGGTGCTCTCAGATTTCTACTCACTCCTTGTCCTCTCCCCAGCTCCATTTCTCTGTTCCTTGGTTTATCCTCATTGTCAAGATTAGGGCTCACCATAGAGTAGGCAGGCAGTCAATATTGGCTCAATGAGTAAATGTGTAAAGAATGATAACTTGCTACATGGAAGCCACCGTGAAATGCAGTTGGGTAACTGGGAGACACTTGGGAGGTCATGACAGGTGGTGGGCAAGCTGAGGGCTAAGGGACTTGGGTGGCCAGAGATAAGGTGATCGACTAGGATCAGGGTGCTAGGCAAGGAGTAAAATTACGATGGAATGGGCAGACCCCAGAGGTTCAAAGAAAATGAAGATCATATGCGCTGGTGGCATGGTAGTGAGCGTAGCTGCCTTTCAAAGAAGATGGAGATCAGAACTCTGTCAGGGATAGAGGGTAAACACAGGATCATGAGTGAGATGCTTATGGTCTAGAAAAAGTTACAGAGCATGTTTCTCATCCCCTTGCAGGTATTTTTAAACACACTCTCTCCATCTCAAGGGCTCTACTTTCTGATCTGGTTCCAGAGAAGGAACGACCACTTGTAATCGGACACTTCAACACAGCCTCCGGTGTGGGCTTCATTTTGGGCCCCGTGATCGGTGGCTATCTCACTGAATTAGAGGATGGGTTTTATCTCACAGCCTTCATCTGCTTTTTGGTCTTCATTCTCAATGCTGGTAAGTTGACAGTAATGAGAAGACCGTTTTGTGTATTCATACTGACCGATCTACCCACTTTTATTTCTTTCAATTTGTTTTTATCAGAATGGATAGACCCATCCAAAAATTGAAGTCATTTTGAGAAACCTCCCTAGTGTTTTCCACAGTAGCCGGTAACAGTGTACATTCACACCTACAGTGTGCAAGAGTTCTCTGTTCTTCACATCCTCATTAACACTTAACCTTTTAAAAATGTGTCCATATTGGCCCTCCTAACATGTGTGAGGCGATTTTTCACTGTGATTTAGATTGGAATTTTCCCGATGATTTGTCATATCGAGCACCTTCTTGGAGAAATGTGTATTTAGATTTTGTGCCCATTTTTAAATAGGGCTTTGTTTTTTTTTGTTTGTTTGTTTTGTTTTGCTATTGAGTTGAAGGGGTACCTTGTATAGTGTGGATATTAACCCTTAATCACATGTGTGATTTACAAATCATATCCACTGTGCAGATTACTTTTTGCTTTACAGATTGTTTCCAGGTTGCTGTTTCACTTTACTGATTTGTTTCCATTGCTGTGCAGAAGCTTTTTAGTTTTAGTTAGTCCCGTTTGTCTATTTTTTGTCTGTTTGCCTGTGCTTTTGTTGTTATATCTAAGAAATTATTGCCAAGGCCAATTTTAAGAAGCTTCTACCTTCTCTTTTACAGTATCAGGTCTTATGTTTGTCTTTAATCCATTTCAAGTTGATTTATATCTTTAATCCATTTGAGTTGATTTTTGTATGTGGTATGAGGAAGTGGTTAATGTTATTCTTCTGCATGATAAATATTTTAGTCGCAATTTAAAAGGAAAATCTTTTATTTTTAATGTATTTAATATAAATTTAAATACAGTTATGAAAGTAAAAAAGAAAGACTATGCCATTTCCTGCTATAGACTTCCGGTGGCTTCCATCATGATAATACACATGCCTCACAGCTGGCGTGGCGGTTGGTGATAGACAGACCCTGCCAGGGTCATTCCCATCAGAGGGCACCGTACCAGGCCAGTCCTCTACCTGCCACATTTATCCCACATCTTTTATTGGCTCTCTCTTCTTATCACTGAAGACTGAAATATCTGCTTTATCTCTGACCATTCTGCCTAAAATAGCTTAATTTTCTTCATAGCATTCCTGAAATTATGTTATTATTTTACTGCTTACCTTCTGTTTGTCCCCCTAAATCAGGAGGCAGACGCCATGAGGGAAGAGATTTTGTCAACTTTACTCACTGCTATAATCCCTGTGCAGAGTACACACTGGGCTGGGCACAGTAGCTCCTGCCTGTTATCCCAGCACTCTGGGAGGCTGAAGCTGGAGGATTGCTTGAGCCCAGGAATTTGAGACCAACCTAGAAAAGATAGCGAAACCTTGTCTACAAAACTTTTTTAAAAATTAGCTAGACACGGTGGCACATAACTGTAGTCCCAGTCCCAGATCCTCGAGTGGCATAGGCAGGAGGACTGTGATCATGCCACCACATTCCAGCCTGGGTGACAGAGTGAGACCCTGTCTCACATACATACATACACACACACACACACACACACACACACACACACACACGACTATGAGCTCCTTGGATGCATGGCTAATTGCTTAAAATGTCTTTCATCTTCTTTGCTTAGAGAGTGATGCATGGCTGGCCCTTGGATAAATGACTTCATAAACAAAAGAATTCATGCTAGGCAGTTTTCCTTACAGTTATTGATATCGTACTTTACTGCAGCTTTTTGAATCTTCCTATTCAGGGTTCTGTTTTGCATGATGACTTCCATTTTGGGTTAGGATGTCAGACTCAGGAAACAAACAAAGTTAATGAGCTTATTCTCAATCCTCACAGAAATGCATTATGATTTTTTGCCAGGAATTTACTTAACCTGTAACTTAAACCAGGAGGGATGGCCTGATGGATTCACATAAACCTAGATAGAATAGTCTCAAATACATGCCCCGTTGATGTGGCCAGGTTATCTTCACATATAAAGGAAGGTACATGAATATGGATTCACTCAAAATTGAAAGTCAGCACATAACAAAGAAATTGGTTATGGAGTTCTAGTTTGCATCCTTCAACATAGTGCCATGTAATATGTTGTCCTATCTTAAGCCTGTAAATGGGTTGAAGCAGTTAGGAAAACATTTTCACTGCAAGTGTTCCCAACTACAACGGCTTAAAGAAAGAGAGACTTGTTTTTATCACGTGAGAAATCTGGGGATAGGCAAGCTGGGGCTGATAGACTAGCAGAGGACGAGTGGGAAGATGACCCGGCCAGACGGCACAGTGTCCCACCGAGGGCTTTGGCCATTCAGTCCAGTGAACATAATATTGTGCTGCTTTTTTTGTCCCAGTCTTGCCATGCTTTCCCCGCCCCGCAATGACTATAGCTGTTTTCCTCAAGGCTTTTACTCTGTTAGCTTCTTATATCCTCCTCTGATCCACCACTTTGCATGAGAAAGCCTTTTCATTGTGATTTCTGTTCTTACGGTTACGAACTCTAAACTCTGGAGTCTGACAGACGTGGGTTCAAATCCCTGTTTTGCCAGTTTTTAGTGTAACCCTGGGGCAAGTTGTCTCCCATTTTTTCATCTATAAAATGGGGTAACAGAACACATAGCCTTGTTGTGAGAACCGTAAGAGGTTCTGCTTACAAGCAGCTTACCCCATTGCCAGAGGTAGGATTTCATAGACCTTGTCTTGTTTGTTAATATTCTCCTAGCTTTTCACACATAAATACTCCGTGAATATTGATGATTGGACAGATGGATGGATAGGTGGGTAGATTGCTTATAGTAAGCACTCAACAGATGTTAGTTGCCATCATCATTTTTTTTTTAATTTTTTAAGTCTATCAGCAATAATTCTGTTACATTTTTATCAATGTTCTGTATAATGTTCAAGGGCCCTTTAATATTGAATTATTAAAAGTCCAGATCCATGTTCTCTTGTGTTTGGTTTTCTGTCATAAATTTGTCTATGGCTGAAGCACTTAGACAGTATTTGGAAAAACGACACACAAAAGAAGTTGCTGAAAACAACATAAAGCAGGAGTGAACAGCCACTGGTCTGAGTTAAACTTTTAAGTCCTGAAGAACTGAAAAAATAGTAGAGTGGAGTTTTGAAAGATGTCCCAGAATGGCTAGTTTGAATTTAGTCTTAAGAAGACTTTTGGACATGAATTTGCAAGAGATAACAGGCAAGAATGTGCTAGTCCTATGAGGACAGAGGTGGGATCATCTGAGTGTCAGTCAGAGCCGCTGTGTAAGGTTGTATATGTCATGGTCTGTGAGAGTGGTACCCCCTGAAGTTTGCAGATGTGACCTGGACAAGCGGTAAATGACCATAACTTGGGACAGATCCAAGCAGGTGCTTCCCAGGGAGAGTTGGCCAAGCTGTACCTGCTCACCCTTCAAGCCAAGACAGGCTGTTGCATATGTAGCAGCCTGTGCTTGCCCCAGCATGGCTCTTATATCGCAATCTGGTTGCATCTTTTCTTATCTGAACCCCTTGTTAGGTGTTAGTGTCTTGAGTACAGTGTTTTCAGAGGCCTCATCTGTGGTAATATATTTCTATATTAAGCACTTAAGCACTTCATGAATATTGGATGTCTAGATGGTTGGATAGATGGATGGATGGACAGATAACTAGGCAGAGAATTACAAAGTTAATAAAGGAAGAATTTAAATTTGTAACAATTTAGATATGAAATGATGCGATGTAGAAAACCATCATAAGCTTCTGAGATGGGAGAAAGCAGTATTTTGTAAGTATTGTGGTATTCTTTTTAAAAGGCGAAGAGTCTTTTGCCAGAGTCCTGATGTCAGAATAAAGCTATAGGAATGGTGAAAAACTAGATACAAAAATACAGACTGGTAAGTGTAGTACAAAAATGTAGATTAGTAATCTAACACAAATACTTGTCCCTTCCCCAGCGAGGTAGCATATGGATTCAGTGCATTCAGTTACTTTAATGGGTCTCATGCCATTTTAACAGGTCTCGTTTGGCTCTTTCCATGGAGGGAAGCAAAACCAGGCAGTACAGAGAAGGGCCTGGTATGGCGAAAGACCCACGTGCTCTTGGGAAGGAGCCATGACACAGTGCAGGAGGCAGCCACCAGCCACAGAGCCAGGGCCAGCGAGAAGGCTACCTGGCCCTGGGTCAAAGTGGTGTTGGCCTTGCAGGACATGAAGAACCTGCTGTTTTCTGAAATGTGGGACATATTTCTGGTGCGCCTGCTGATGGCCATGGCAGTCATGCTGTACTACAGTAACTTTGTCCTGGCCCTGGAGGAGCGCTTTGGGTTACGGCCCAAGGTGACAGGCTACCTCATCAGTTACACCAGCATGCTGGGGGCCATGGCTGGCCTTGCCCTGGGGCCGATCCTACGGCTGTACAAGCACAACTCGCAGGCCCTGCTGCTACACTCCAGTGTGCTCACCTGCACACTGCTGCTGCTCTACTCCTTGGCCCCCACCATAGGTGTAGTTGTCATCTCCTCCACTCTCCTGTCCTTCTCCACTGCCATTGGAAGGACGTGCATCACGGATCTCCAGCTGACTGTGGGCGGGGCCCAGGCCAGCGGCACAATCATCGGCATGGGGCAGTCTGTGACTGCGGTGGGCCGCATCATCGCCCCTCTCCTCTCGGGGATTGCCCAGGAGGTCAGCCCTTGTGGTCCCCCCAGTCTAGGCGCTGCATTAGCCTTAGTGGCCATTTTCGTAATGTCTCTAAGCAAACCACACTCCAGTGGTGGTGGGAATGGTAAATTAAAAAGTGAATAGATGGATTTGGACAAAACAAATTAGAAACAAAATTTGAGGCAGTTGAATCAGGGCCAGAGACCATAATGAGAAGAGCACTTTGGAAAGGGTTGGGGTAGAAGGGAGACATTTCCAGGTAGGTGTGCACTGTTGGAAGTCCAAGTCAGCCCTTGGCCATACAGCTACGCCAGCAGGAAGATCAGAAGTCACGGAAGCTCATGGGAAGGTTAAGACTGGAGTGAAGCTTTTCCAAGGGGAGCATATTCAGCATTTACCTGGAAGTCTCTTCTTCCCATCTGAGTCTCTTCTTCCTGAGTGGGCTAATGAGGTTACAATTTTCAAGAGTGAAAAAACTACCAGCTACAGGGTAGGGAAGTGGTGGTGGAGTAAAAGAACATGATACATGGAGGAAGGGAAGAAACCATAAGCATTTTTCTACTAAAAAATAGGGTGACATGTCAGTCAAATTCTGATCGGCTGGAACTTGAGTTTCCAGTTAAATTCTATACACTGGGAGGGAGTTTTCTATCAAAATCCTGCAAATCGAAGAAGCTGTTTTATTAGAAGGAGCCTGTGGCTTCTCAAACCTGCTTAAAAATCAGATACTGACCTCACCCCCAGAGATGATTCAGTGGGCCTGGGTGGGGCCAAGAAATCCATGGTGTTCTGTAAGCACCACTGGCAATTTCTCATGGTAGTGGAAAAGACCATACATAGGCTTGGCTGTTTTTACACAGCTGACTAAATTTGGACTCTTAAAACTGTGTTTGTAATCACAACATGTTACACCCGTCCCAGCTCCCAGCAGTTGTACTACATGATGGAGCAACGGGTCCTTGCGGCCTGTTGCCCGTGCTTTCTGCCTCTGAGATCCCAACTTGCTCTGAAGTTGGACTAAACCACCTAGATGCTGGGCATGCCAGTCTGCTCCTGGAAGCCTGGAAAGTCGGGTTGCCTCCTGGTGCTGACAGAACCCAGTGGTGAAGCCAAAGCATAGGAATGCTTTTAAAATGAACTGTTTATGCAGAATAAGGGTCAGGTGGCATGTCAGAACAGAAGAACTTGATGCTACTGTGTCTTAAGAATCATGTCATTTATTTTTAATTTCATGCCTGCAAAAACAAGCATTCTGTTGATCAATAGGGAAATATTTTGGTATGCCATTTCTCATCTAAACTGGAGTTCCATGTACAGTGCCCAGGAGCTCACAAGAGGAAGAAGCCCAGACAGAAGGTGAACGTAGCCTTGCAGGGAAACATGCACCAGGCAGGCTGGCCTTTGGGATTACATCAAGTATTAATTAAAGTTACTTAAGCACCTCCCACCCACTGCCACCTCCCGCCCAGCAGGCAGTTGAAGTTCACATTCCTTTTACTTTTCTTAATTAGTCCACCAGGATGTTATGCCTGTTTTCAGCTTAACACATGCATAATTGTAAATATTTAGTACAGTGCAGTAATTTGTCATATCTTTAATTATTGTTTGCAAAGCAGGAAACATTTCTGTATTTTAGAAGTCATGGAGTAAAATCAAATACGGTAAATAATTGGAAGTATGTTTTAGTTTAAAGATGGTCCTTTTTTCTGTCTTGCTACAAGAAAAAAATGGACTTGTGACTAGGTTTTACAATTGTGAACTTTTATGTAAGTGTTAAATGCTTTTGAGGAGACCAATATATTAATATATAAAATGACCTTGCCCTTAAGGAGCAAACTAAATGTCATGGAGATTAGACTCAAAAGGCAATAAATAATCAAGGGTTTATGCAGTGAAGCAGAATTTTAGAAGAGTTTGGATCTCAAAGCTTTCTTCACTCTCAGAAATAGGCAAGTTTCTTAAAAGCTCTTATAGTCATGTTTTTTTTTTTTAATTGTAGCACTTTCTTTTTGAAGTTTAAAAAACCCATAAACTTAATGAGTCTTTATAATCAGACATGAAAATATTAAAAACGAAAGACTGATCTTACAGAGAAACATGTTTGTTACTCTCCACTAGTGACTTCAGTATTTTGTTATGTGATATTTTGTAGGTACACCTTTTCTCATGACCCCTTTTACATTATTTATTGTCTTGCTCTTCAAAGTGTGACCCAGAGACCAGAAGCATCAGCACCACCTGGGAGCTTGTGAGGCCTGCAGACACTCAAGCCCTAGCTGAGATGTGTTGGGGACCAGTTTAATAAGATACCTAACTGATTTTTTGCACAGTAAAGTTTGAAAACCCCTGGTTTAATGGGTAGTATTTGTATCATTTATGGAGTATAACCTCAGGGAAATTAAATCTGCTCAATTAACATTTGTGGTGTTTCATTTTTTAAATTCTCTTGAGTACCTTGTTTTCTGAAGTGTCAGGTTGAGCCACAAGAAGTTGCTATTTTGTGAGTCAAAAATATCTTCATAGGATTCAATATTCTATGGAATCTTATTCTAAAATATTTGTGAAGGAAATGGCACCCTTCAACCCTCTGCCAGCTATGACTGCTGGGGAGCAGGTCTCTAGGCTTCGGGTTCCATAGAGTGGAAGATACGATTATGCCCTCCAGGTCTCTAGGCTTCGGGTTCCATAGAGTGGAAGATACAATTATGCTCTCATGTCTAGAGGGATGAATAAAATTCTGAGAAGGCACAGGGTGTGTCTGGCCACAAGAATCACCTGCAAGTCTCCAAACTCAGGCTGGGTGGCCCCTTGGGGAGTGAATTCTGCAAGAGTTGCGCCTGGGGCCAACAGAAGGAGCTGTTTTGTATCTTGCCTGCTTGCCTTAGACCATGGGAACCCGACTCTTGAAGCACCCTGTGTGTTTCTGTGCACATCTGGAGTTGGGGAATCACTGAGTTAGATCAAGAATGGATTCGTCCACCGCGCTCAGGGGTTGAGTTTTATTGACTGATAAAGGGGAACAATGGAAGAATTCCTGCGGTAGAGTGCTCCAAGGACCATCCTGTTTAGAAAGAGCTCTCCAGCTGCAGTGAGGAGGATTAACTGGAGGCCCAAGGAGCAGTCTGGACTTTGGAGCAGTAACTTAAGGGTGGTCCTGGGAGAGAGCTGGTTGCAAGGACAGGGACAGCAGGCAGAAGTGGTGGCCCTCAGGACGATTGCAAGAGAGGCTATGAGTGATTCCCAAGTGATGAGTGTGCAGCTTTGAGGAATTTCAAAGAGTTGCTTGACATCTTCCTGAAGACACTTCTATAAGAGATTTAGAAATCTGTCAGGAGTGAGAATCAGTCCAGTCTGAGAAAATTTAGGCATTTGGGCAACTGCATTCAGAAAACAGCTGTTTATTTGGAATGCATGATAGCCATGAGAGTGAATCTCCGTACCTCTTTACCCCCAAAAGCCTTAACAATAGCCTTTATGAAGCCTCTAAAACAAGGTCACCACAGATTTAGCCAGGATGGTGTGTAACACAGCTTCTCTTGGAACAGGTTGATGGTTTCGAATAACTTGTTTTCGGCCCTAATTTTTTTTTTCTTGAACTTGCCAGACACATGATAATTTTCTTCAATAATAAAACACCTTTGTAATTGTAATGAAGTACTATCATATATTCTAATAAGGTATATTTTTAGAAGTTATTAGTATATCTTCCACATGTTTTCACTCGTAGGCGGGTAATGAACAATGAGAACACATGGGCACAGGGAGAGGAACATCTTACACTGGGGTAAATTAGGAGGTGGGGAGCCCAGGGGAGGAGAGGGACAGTGGGGGGCAGGGGGGTTGGGGAGGGATAACACCGGGAGAAATGCCCAATGTAGGCAACACGGGGATGGAGACAGCAAACCACCATGGCATATGTGTACCTGTGCAACAATCCTGCAGGATGAGAACATGTACCCCAGAGCTTAAAGTACAATTAAAAAAAGTTATTGGTGTCTCTTGCCACATATTTCAATTCAGGATCCAGAAGTGCTTTGTAAAATGTAATCTCCAGTATGCTAGAACACGTCTTAATAGTATAAACAAGGCTTCAGCTTTTAAAATCATTATGCTGTTACCAAATACATACATAATCTGACATACTGATGGCCAGTAAATGGAGGACAGTTGATGAACAATGCAGGGGTTAGGATTGCCAAGTCCCCAAAACAGTAGAAAATTTGATTTTAATGTTTGACTCTCTAAAAATGTACTACTAATAGCTTACTGTTGACAAGCCCTACCAACATTAATTATATACTGTATTTTTACAATAAAGTAAGCTAGAGAAAAAAATGTTAAGAAAAAAAAATTAAGTGGAAATGGGATCATCATAAGGGTCTTCATCCTTGTCTTCACTTTGGATAGGCTGAAGGGGAGGAGGGGAGGGATTGATCTTGCTGTCTCAGGAGTGGCAAAAGTGGAAGAAAATCCCCATGTAAGTGGACCTGTATAGTTCAAATCTGTTAGCGAAGGATCAACTGTAGTTTTAAGGTAACATCTCACAGTAGGATTTATTTCTAGTTAAGCAGATGCACAAATATTTAGATCCTTCATTTTTCCCAAACAGGTATCTATCTAAACACCATTTTATAGATAGCTGTCTATTAAAACAATAAGAGCAAATCTTCTGTTTTCCTGACTCAATATAAGAAACATTGCTGATTCTTCTATTTATTTATGAGATGGAGTCTCACTCCATCGCTCAGGCTGAAGTGAAATGGTGCAATCTTGGCCCACTGCAACGTCCGCTTCCAGGTTCAAGAAATTCTCCTGCCTCAGCCTTCCGAGTAGCTGGGACTACAGGCACCTGGCCAATTTTTGTATTTTTAGTAGAGACAGGGTTTCACTGTGTTGGTCAGGCTAGTCTCAAATGCCTGACCTCAGGTGATCCACCCACCTCGGCCTCCCAGAGTGCTAGGATTACAGGCATGAGCCATGGTGCCTGGCCACTGATTCTTATCTTTAAAAGTGACTTGAACACCATGTGTATCATTCCTTCCAGGGAGAAGATAATTATAAACATTAAGGAAGGAGTGTTAATTATGGCTAGTAACGTATACAGCATAATAATAAAAGGTAAGGATCTTGTTTGAACAAAGAATTGTATTTTGATCAGTCTTTGTTTAAACTATACTACATCTTGATAAATACAGTTCTTTTCTCGAAGCCTCCACTGTAGAGGAAGAAAGTGGTTAAAATATCTATTAGTGATCACAAATTACAGCATCGATGGGAGACAGCCTTCGGGCTTACCAAAGAATCTCCATGCCATTTTGAATAGTTGAGACTCAGCCTCTTATCCGGAATGAGAACTAGTTTTTGGTGTGATAGCTGACCTACCTAAACCTAACCCAAGTTTGCTTAATGAAATCGAAACCGCATGAAATATCCAAGGCGAACATAATAAAGGTGTTCTGCTGCTGACTCAGGCTGGACCCTTGTGGGTCTGTATGTACATGACGAGGCAGGTGTCTGCCTTAAGTAGTCTAATCTGTGGGGTCAAAGCACAGGCCTGGCCATCACAAAGCCCAACATCTGTTTGACCACGTCTGTGACATCACTGACAAGGATGAGCATTTTCCTTGGGTCACCTTCAAAGTACCTTCACTGTGCATCTCTTTGGCATGAATAACACTGAAAGCATGCTGAACTGGAACTGCCATTCAAAATAACTTTCCAGCTAAAGGTCAGGACTTAAACTAGAGGTCCAACAGTAAGACATAATTATGTTAGCAAATCTATTGTTTATTAATCAGATACCAAACTATGTATTTATGGAAACCTAAAATTTGGTGTGTTGATACACATCTTTGTATAATCTTTAAAAATTATTTGGTAAGGCAATAATTGGAATTAACTATTTTTCTTTGGGTGTGGGAAGGAGGTATTTTGTATTTCAAAGCATACACCATCTTTGAGCCCTTTTTAGATATAAAACTTAATGAACCAATTAAATGTTTATTCCTCTAATCAGTTTCTGTTACGCTGTAATAGAGGTAGCCCAGTTTGAGATATATGGATTTAGAATTAATAGAATTGAAATTTTTAATACTTTGAAGTTCTTACCTTTCAAGAATTCTAGCCATCACAATCCCATTCAACACAAATGAGAGTGGTTTCATACGTAAATATAAAAGCTGGGACTGTTCTGTTTTCATGTATGTATCATTTTCTCCATTAGCGATTAAAGGCTTACATGTGATTTAATATTTAAACTTTGGCAAGATTTTTCATAGAAACAGGGAAAGTTTCCTTCATCTGTGTACCTACACAAATTTGTTTGGTAAGCAGGGTTATCCTAACTGGATACAAAGAGCTTCATCTAAATTAGAAATTTAATCTCCAGTCATACTTATGACTCAACAGAAGCCAATAAAATAAGAAAGGAGAAAAATGTTTGAATTTTTAATTCAAGATGTTTTGTTCCAGAAATCAGAAAAACCACAGCCTCTGTGTCTGGCATTCTGTCTGCTGGGCAGCTCGTGGAGTGACATTTCTGTACCCTTCAGTAGAACAACAGATTCCCATACAACCTCTGCACATACTGAGAAGTCTTGACGTAGGTTCTGAACCATTCAAAATAATCCATATGCTGTGTAGATTGGAAAGTTGATAAAAATCCATTCACAGTAGATAGGTTAACTCTACACCTAGAAAAACTCATTTCCTGACCATGTGGTTAAGAGAACGAAGCTATTATTTATTAGCTATACTTAGAAGTAGTAAAATATTATTTTATCTGAAAAGGTGCAGGAAATTAGAAAACAAAAAGAATCAAAAAATGAGGCACCAACGTGACACAGGTGGTCTGCAAAGCCCCATCTGCATCTTTGAGCTGCACACCCCCACGGTGGCTGACCCCTGTTTAAGGGTGTCGGCTAGACCCAGAGTGGATGATGCTGGGGGGATTCTAGAGGAAAGTGTCATCTATCAGAGACAAGGAGCCATGGTTATGCCACGCAGCTGGTATCCAAACAAGGCTTCTGCTTTCCTTAGAAGGGGTTTGAAGAAATGGCTGATTAAAAAGTGGGATAAAAAGTAGCAGCGAGCCACACACGTGAAACCACCAGTGTGTTCTGAGCCATAAGAGTTCATTTTCGGATTGACGGGACAATCAGCACGTGCTGTTCAAGCCTCAGTGGATAATGTCAACAGCTCCTTCAACTGGACAAAGTGATCTCTTTAATCGCGTTTTTAAGAAGAAAGTACAGTGTGCACTTGGACAAAAATATTGCCGTTCTCATAACTGATTAAGAAACATGACTTTTAACATAAACATGATTCGGGCAGTACAATAAATGCAAAACGTGCCAAGACTTGTACTGTGTTTCTCTACGCTTTTTATATAAATCAATACCCTCACCACAGGTAAAACA